CTTGGCAATGAATGCTACATTTTACAGCCCAAAATAATTTCCGCACACAAGTAAAACCCCTGATACTTACCAGCTATCACTCCAAAAATCTCGAGTAAAAATCTCAGTTTTCTCAGCTTACCTATCTATATTATCGATTCTCCTATTCTTCTCTCATAAATTCGTCAGAGAAGAAGAACTTGAAGAGCTTCCTTTTTCCCCCGTCTCATCCATATTCGATCTCTTCACCTCTATATTTTCTGGGTTATACAATGTAAAAAGGATATGTGGTGTTCATAGTCAGGATCTGAGCTTCTATCTTTCTGGTTACACGGGTTGTGAACTCAGTATGAGGTGCGGTTTTGTCTCTGTTCTTTTTTTGTGATTATGTTTGTTTTATCGAAAAGATTAAGTGGGTTTGATTTAATTTTCTACTGACTGGGTTATATTTCTTATGGGTTTTGTTTGGTTGCCGGAAAAAATGCCGGAACCAGAAGCTGATAATCAGTATGGAACTTTTTTTTTCTGGGTTAATTAGTTTTTGGACCAAGGTTATTAATTTCCCCTGATTGTAGTAGTATATTTGTTTTCTGTCGGGTGTTTTTATAGTCAAGGATAAGCTGTCAAATGAAAACTAGGTTTAAGTTTTGAGAGTAAATCTTTAAAAGTTCATTATTAAAATTAAAATACAGGGTTTTTGGTTACTAGAAATCATTTATTCTTGGTGATTGTTGAATGTTATTGTGCGAAAGTCTACTTGTCAAGGGCCTGGAAAATTTAAATCACTATAAAGGTTTTTTTTTGTGTTCCATCCAGACAAGACTAGTTTTCGTATGCCTTGGACATTTATTGAAGTTCAAGTAATTGATTTAGATACAACATTTATTAGTCAGATGGAGTTCTTTGTGCTGATCTCCTGATATTTGTAAAGAGGTGTTATTGAATGAGTGCTAAATTTGGGAACTTGGAAGTAAGCAAGCGGCAAATCTACTAACTAGTCTTTTTCCTATACCATCGTACAATTTGTCATTTCAAGTTCTATTAGCAGGTTCAGGTAACTTCTCAGCTTGAGTCCATCTGAAATCAATTTAGAAGGTGAAAGAAAGAGTGTGATAATACGAAGTCTGGCATGGATGGTTATGATTAACTGCTTTCAGCTTAATTATTAAAATGATTGTTGCATTTGTCTCTCTTGATTTCTCCATTTGCATTTATAAATAGAAAGAAGGAAAGATTTAAGTGCTGCTATTCTAACATATTTACTGCAACATGCTCAGTTTAACTACTGAGGACCCTTGCCTTTTCTGAAAAAATTTGAGAAAAAATATTGAATGTGCATGTTTCTTTTTTTTTTTCCTCCAAGCGGTTGATTTCTCAAGTGCTTTGATGAATGTTGAGTGAATGAAGAAGTATATGAACTTCTTGAAATATTTTGAACCACCAAAAACCAATCTTGTAGATGGCTGGTATCCATTAGCGGAGCCAGGAATTTGATTGAGGGCTGGGAATCCCTAGAAGTAAATAGGGCATGGGTTGCTGGGGCAAATCTCTCACTGGTAGGATCCATTTTATTAACTACTGTATAGTGATTATCAATTTTGCTCATATTATTAATCATGATAAGAAATTGCATCTTGATCCCTTTATATATTGTTTATATGTTTCTGTATCCATCTATACATAATATTTTAATATTTTTATATATACAATGAGCTCATAAGAAATATTGAGGAATAATAAAGTGTAACAATATTCAGAATCAAGTAAGCTATATATTGAGAAATCCACTAACGATAAATGCTTTATTCACTAAAACTTTTGCATAACTTTATTTAGGAAACTGTGCAGGAGAGACTTCAAGATAGAGAAAAGATTAGAGCCACTACCTTTAATGGCAAAAACTGCAA